TAACCTTTTTTTTGCATTTATCCATTTTTAATAAAGTGGCATACTTATTAAAGAAATTCATATCTAATATAATAAACGATTTGAAAACTGAATAGTTTTTATTTCCCAAAAATTAAATAAAATACACATTCAATAAAGAACAATTACAATTACGAAATGTTCAAAAATGATTAATATAAGCTTTGATGTCCTACACAATATTTTTAAAATAGTAGCTAGATAACAAAATTTAATGATACTGTTTTACAAATTTATAATTGTATTTCCAAGACTTATGTATTTTTAATAACTCTATAATATCAGCCTAGACAGAAAAGATTTATAACAAATGTAACAATGGAATTAAAAAGCTTGTTAACACAAATCCGAAATGTAACGCTTAATGACTTTTCAATTTCGAACACAGCTCGACTCGCATTTCATTCATTGCAGAAATATGTTCTGCGGAACGGCAAATTTCCAATTCGCCAGAAATCCAAGCCTCCACTAAAAGATCTTGGCAACAGGATTTTAGTGGAACAATAACATAATTTGTGTTAGATTTCGCCCGCACACCCCACCACACCTCACATGTTTGGCCGCCCACAAATGTGGCGAAAATTGGCCATAAGCTTGGCAATTAGCAAGCATTTTCACGCACTGCACGCGTTCGCGATGTTCGCCGAGTGTTCGCTGATGGCCAAAACGTGAGCGAGGCGTGAGCATAAATACGATGGAAAATGGCAGTAATTAACGAGTGTGGAAATCGGATTCGCAATGGAAAATGGCAATGGCAATCGGAGTGGCGGCGCGGCTCGAATTTTCCCCCAACCGCCATGCAGTTCAGCGGCCGTTTTCATAAACATAAAAAGCCAATTTCAATAACATTTTGCACTTCTCCGACCAGTTTGTTGATGCTGTTGATGCAACATGAAACGGCGGCAGCAGCAACATTTGATGTTGCTTTTGCAGCAGCAGCACCAGCAGCAGCAGCAGCAACAGTTGCTGTTGCTACAAATTTGTTGCTGCTAGAATATCGTTTATTGAAACATTAATTGCCCATGTGAAAATCGATTCTCGTTGCCATTTAGTTGGGGTTTAGTTGCCGCCCGTCGAAGTGAATTTGCATTTGCATTTTTCCTGTTCAAGACACTTGTTTTCATTTCTTTTTGCTGCTTTGGGGTCGTCGAGTGTGTTGCCCTCCGCCAGCTTCCTGTTGCCATTGCGATAATTGAAATTTGGTGTTGGACATTTTTTGTGTGCCATTTGTGCTGGTGATGTTTGGCTGAGATTTGTGGTTACTTACTAGTTTAGCGTATCTAAAAATCACATATTGGCCATTAAGCTATTTTAAAAACTGGGTAACATCAAACGAGTCTATAAAAACTAAATAAACGAATCAAAAAACGGAAGAAAACACAAGCAAAAATAAATAAATATTAAACCAAGTGCCCCCTGTTTGTTTTACCAATCTGAATTGTAACTGTGACAGTTCTGCGCATTCTCATGGACAATTGAGTTGAGTTGAGCCTATGCTAATGTTTTGGGGTCTTGACAATCAACAATTGAAATGCCTTCAATTGCACTTCACAGCTTAATCACAAGGCACAGCCAAGTCAACAGTTGTAACACCTACACTAGACAACACAAAACGATTGACAACCTGAACTGTCAACGCATTGAAAATCGCTTGAGTGACTGCCTGAGGTGACCACGCCCCTTCGCCCTCCCATAAGGCACTGAAAAAAATGTTGTTTTATCAGATCTAATAAGAAATGTTTATTTTATAAGAATATAATATTTATTAGTATTAAGAACTTATTGGATGGCATTTTCGCCTCCCATTAAACACTAAAAATGGTAACTATTTTTAACTATAACTATAACTTTAACTTTTTATGAGTTATTTTGATGAATTTCTGCATATTGATATGAACAACATTTTATATTGTTTTATATGAAATTAAATTATTTTATTCAAATGTAAAGTAGGCTGAGAAAAATGCGGAACAAAAATTGTTTTTTGTGTACTCTTGTTTGACGACGCCGGTGGCAATCGAGGGAGAGCGAGAAAACATGTCCACACCACGAGGAAAAATAAAAGAGTTTTCATAATGAAAATGTCAACCCGTTGGCGGAGTGCAAAGTCCACTTTTTAAGCAGGGGGAGTGCCAGGGGGAGGGGCAGATAAATAAGAGAATAATACGGCAGCAAAGGTAGACAATAGTTCACAGACTGAAACTGCGAAATATCACGCGTGATTCATCGGTTTCAGCGGCAGCAACAACAGCAACAACGAGTGCGACACCCACCCATGCAAATGCGTTTTTTATGCTTGTTAGAGCAACGCCTGCGTCGCCCAATGGAAATAGTGAACTTTTCTTATTTATTAAGCCAGCCAAGTCGTAATTATGCAAAACGGGCCAAGAGCTACAAATGTGTTGCTGATGGGACAAGAGCAAAAAAAAAATATATATATATATATATATATGTTGCTAAGATACAAACAAGATATTGCTAACGGCTTGCAAGGAAATTTATTTTGGTTTTAGTGGTCATAAACAATTAACTGATATTACAGTTTCAATATATAGAGTGCTGATAGAAAAAAAGGAAATACATGTCCTGCTGGAGAGAAGCTGTACAAATCCTGTTTTATTGATGGATTTTCCCAAAAAGTGAGAGACACAAAATCACCAATTTGATTACACAATTGCCAAAAACTTATCAAAAGCGATGAACGAATCTACAGCTAGTGTACTTGAACTCCGCACTCGATAAACTTAACAGCCAAAGTGCAAACCGCAAACAAGCAACCAGCAACAACCAACAACAACCAACCGACAACAACCGACAACTAGCAGCAACACCAAACACCCAAACACCCAAACACCCAGACAACCGCAATCGCAGTTGGCAGCCCAAAATAGCAGACAGCAACACGATTTGTGGCATTCAAAAGTATAAGCAGCGATTTGCACCATCAGATCAGCGAGATAAGCATTAAGAATCTTTGACAGAAATTGGTTAACTTGCAGATACCAAACATTTATCATTGGGTATAGGGATTTACTTGGCGGTTTGCAATCGAACAAAATGGGAATTAAATTATAAACCATAAAAGAAATATAAAATTGTGCCTCTTATTGCAAGTTTTTAAATGGTAAAATGTTTTTCCAAAATACTTAAAACATTTGGTTTAAGTCCTTTTTATTTAGCAAATAGTATAAAATTACTCAGAACAGAAGAATATGGGCTACATTTTCTTTTAAAAAAGATATATATATAATTTATCCAAGCTGTTTATTTAAGAACTGTCTTACTATTTAGTTTCTTGATCATCCGAAATTGAGGAAAAATATTCAAAAAGGGTATGTGAATTTCCCCTGCCTTCCGTGGAAATCTTTTGCTTTCAGGGTGCCGCTGGCGTCGACTGGCAATCGCTGGATGGAAGCCCGACGTGACCCGCTTTCTGGGCTTCCAGCTCAAAGGGCTTTAGCCCTGACAGTAGCACCCACTTTGGACTCGGATTTGGATTTGGATTCGAATTCGGCTGCAATTTTTGGCATCTCTGGCTGCGACAATTTGGCAATCATTTGCATATCGAGGCGCTGATCGGTGCAGCTTTTGCCGGGGAACGTGTTGGCATTTTGCATAAGCTTTTCAGCCGGGTGAGTGAGATTCATCATCCGCCATAGAGTTTCCAACTCAATTAGAAGCCGAATAGTTGTTTTTTACTTTGTTTACCCCAACTTGGTATGCGGTGCATAATGAAATCGAAATCGAAACCGAAATCGAAGCAGAGTTCAATGTTTTGTTTTTGAAATGTGATCAGAAAGTCCTTGAATAGTGTCATCGCCCGTGTTCGATTAGTTTACAAAATAGTCGAAATTCTTCCGCAATAAAAAGAAGGCGAAGAACAACAAAGGTCTGCGGCATGGAGATGATCTATTTAAGAGGCGGAATCCACTGCCCGAGACTTGTCTCCTTGCGTCAATAAGTCAACGCACCTCCCGTCTCATGAATTTTACTACGATTGCCGCTTTACGCACTTTTGTCTGAATATTTGGCGTCTGATATTTTGTTTTCCTCTTTTATTTTTCTGAATTTCAAGCCAATTTATTCATGAGTGGCGAAGTGTAGATTTTCTGTTCGTCGAAAAAATTAACAAAAGGAAACCAGGAAATATTGAACAAAATAGAAAAGTCTTGATCAGAACAGTATCACTTAAAACCCTCAACACTCCGAAAACAACATTCAAATTATTCAATAAATATAATAAATATAAATAAAACTATTAAATAAGTAAACAAACAAAACACAAAACAAAAACATGAAATATGTACAAAATAATTGGAATATCCTACGTGAGCTATAGCTCTTATAAATCATTGTTAGGTTGTGGTTTTATTTATATGATAGCATTAAATATTAACAACAAAATTATTTTTTTGACATGTGTATAGTTTGGTTCTGATATAAATAATTTAAGAAATTTCGGCTGTACTTCCGATCATTTTCAAATGTTCAGGATCCATGTATTTTGGGGTCCTGATTACGAAAAATACATTCAAACAAACAGAAATTCGAGATCTAATTGAAATACATATTTATTATTTAACGAGATATCGACCAAAATAGTTTGCTTTTTAGTCGTCATTTAAAACGAGCGCCGAACCTGGCAACCTCACCTAGATGGGGATGAGCAAACTTGCCAAACGCGTGTCGATATATTATTTCGTTCGTGAGTGTCAGCGATATAGAACTGAAGTGACACGTTAACAGTGGCAAGAAAACATCGATAATCACTGTTAAAAATGGGACCGATATCTTGAAAGCATCGATGACATCGATGTCTAACAGAGAAATGTAAGCGAAACGTCGAACTAACAGAGAAATGTTGGCTGTCGCTTTCGAGCTAACAGAGAAATGTTAGTGTAACATCGAGCTAACAGAGAAATGTTAGCGTAACATCGGCCTAGCAGAGAAATGTTAGCAAAACGCCGAACCAACAGAACAGAAAGAGAGCGACGGCAAAGAAGAGTGGCAACAGCGAAAAAGTGCGGCGAAAGAAAACCTATTTAAGCAAAACGCAACCATTACTCGGTAATTTGTTGGGCGCGTTTTAATCGGAAATCGGGCAAGATGGGAAACTTCGACGGCGATTCTGGAACGGTTTTCGAGCAGAGTTACGCGACGACAAACGGGAATGGAAAGGTGCCGAACGGAAACGGGGCGGCCAGCTTTAGTCCTCCGGAAAAAGAGGAACTTCTCAGCCAGCGAAAATTCTCGGCACCCGCATACACGGAAATTCGCACGCGACGCTGCCATTCGAAGCCCACTCACGACGCCAAGGTGAGCTCAGCGTTTTCGCTCAGTGCATGACGGCATATCAAAAGTTGGCCAAATGCAAAATACAAACTAAAAACCCATTAAAATTGGCCAAAAATGTGCTTCCATTTCTCTCTCTCTCGCTATCTCTCTCTCTCGCTCGCACTTTCAACCGGCAAGTCATCCCATTGATTTTTAGAGAGAGTGAGTGAGAGAGGATGCGTCAGCTGAAAAATTTCGGCCAACTTTTGTTGCATTTTGGGCGGGGTTGGGGGGCGGCGAGTTTCCTCGGCTTTTCCTCGTTTTTCTGGGTCAACCTCCAGCTGATTTTACACCACTGCAGTGTTTTCCTTTTCGCCGCCAGTGCTGTCCAACCGGAATATTTTGGCTATTTCTTAGGGGCTAATTTAAGTTCAAAAGAATAATTGTTAATTGTTACTAAAGCCGATAAACTTTAGGAAGTAGTATACTTCGATAGCATGCCAAAAGAACATAAAAATTTACCCATGTTTACAATGGAATATTGATTTCCGATCAGTGAATTATGAATACATTAACAAAAAATTCATTTCCAAACAATCCAAAGGCCACAATAATAATTTACACTTAGACTTTTAGTTAGTTCTTAATGTTTTTATGGAGTCTTAAAATATGCTCGTATAGCTTTTAATGTTGTGTTTTGAATAATTTGAATTAAATGACAATATTAAATCCCAAAATTAGTACCAATAAAGTTGTACATAAAAATATGTAAATAATTGGTAGAGGTAACTCTTTAGCTATATGCACTGGTTTGATCTTATCATTGTCACTTTTCCGGCACTCCTGCACTCGATTGTAATTTTCCCAGAGGTTGGCCGACCCCAAAAACCGAAATTCACCCCCGTAATACCCGATTCGCCGGGGTCTGGTAATACATAAATTGTCATGCCATGCCGGGCCCGCCTTATCGGGCCCATTCCGTTCCGACCAATCTTTTACGTAAAGCCTCGCAGAATGCGACTCACTGGTGAATGGTGAATCACAAAGTTTCCACAATCGCCGAAGGCAAAAGCAAAAGTATTCGGGTGGGCGTTGATTTGACGGTGATAAGATTTTTTTTGTCCAGTTTCGGGAGCGTAAGAATGTCTGGGGGTGCCAGAGAAAACTATAAGAGGGCTTACCTAATAGATTATAATATTTTTATGGCTAATCTATTAAATATACAATTTTAATACGTAATTTAAATTAAAATGTTAAATAAATATTAAACTCATTAACGATCATTGTTTTCTAATATAAAAATCAATAAGCTCTTTTCTTAAGAATTAATTTTGTGTATGTATTTAATAAATAAGACCTAACAAGTTTAGTGTACACATTAGTTGGCTTTAGTAATTAAATATGTTTTTATTAGGAACTTAATTCTATAGTTTTTTAACCACTTTGCCAGTTCACTTGAACTCAAAAGCTTTATTAGTTTTATCAGTAGTAGAACGTGTGCGCGTGTTTGGAACCCCTTAAACCTTGATATCTTGAACTGAAATTTGTAGCAGCATACATTAATTATAATTCACATGCTTATCAAAATAACAACTTGAATAAATAACTTTTTTTTTTAGATACAGTTAGTTTGAAATTACAAAAATCAAAGAGCCATCCAATTAGCTAATGACTCACAGGTAATGCTTCTTTGGAATCCCCTTGAAAGTCTTTAGGGAACTTTGCCATGTGCTGGTCTAGTGTCAGTCGTTATCTTGACTTCCATGGATCCGCAACATGTGGAAACCATTATCTAGTTCTCAACCCCTTTGTTTCCTTCCTTCCTTCCATTTCTCCAGTTGCAGCCACTCAATCGGGTAATTAGTATTACACATTTTTTTTTATTTATTTACTCAACTCGGCTTCGTCGATATACCCTTACCCAAGTCGGTCCATTAAAAAAGCCAGCAGCGCGTAACCCACTTGATCCCGGCGCCCTCCCCTCCCCGCTCCCCTCCCCTCCCCGCTGCCTACATCTCTATATTTAGTAAACAAGCCCGGTGGCAAATGATAATAAACACGAAATATTATTGTCGCCGACTCGTTATTGTTATACGATTAGGTGAGCGTGTATATACTATACTATATCGCTATACCATATATCAGCAAAGCGAAATGCCCAACTAATGGGAGCTTGTCTATTGAATCTAGATCCTTTGGCCTTAAAATCAATACCCTACTGATTTGTACACTCGAGTAAATAAGTTCATTTGTTGGCCAACGAGGTTGAAGTGTGCCAGTTGGGCAATTGTATATCCAAACACTGTACGGCTTCCCCAGACTTGCCTCTCTTTCATCCAGCGGTCTGCCGTCTCTTTTCCGCCGAGTGTGACTTCATGTCGAACTGGGCTCATGTGAGCATGCAGCAAATTGTTCATCGTTCAGTTGTCGTGTGACTATATAGTATATATGTACGTACCAGGCATGCATATATGGATATGTTAGTTTAGTGTTAATTGGCTGCTGAATTGACTGAACGCACAGAAAGGGCAACCAATTTAAGTTCGACTATAAAATCACGATGATAAAGAATTTTTTTCAGAGGAAAATCTTACCAGATTTAAATTTTCCAAAATTTCACATATAGTTTATAGAGTAATAAAATAATTGTGGAAAAATGTGGAATATTGCCTTTGCATAGATTTCTTAAGGTAGTTAAAGGAAAAGTTTTTTTTTTAATTTGGATACCTATAAACTTTTTATGAATTTAACAAATTTGATTAAGGTATTTAGCTTTTATTAAGTTCTCACAACAATTTTAAGAAATGATGTGTGAATGCATTTTATATTGACTTCAAAAAGGGTTAACTTTAAACTACTTATTTATAGTTCACTGTACCACTATTAAATTAGAAAAGAAGTATGAATGCATATTAAAGACTTAAAGACTTATATAACTTTCTATCCCAGTAGAGGTATAACGCCTAAAACTAGAATTTCTAACCAACTATATTACTCAACCAGTTAAAATACCTATGCTCGCATATTTTCTTTAAGTGTATCACCCCTTATTAATTACTTTTCGCACCTGCTGATCATAGAGTTCTCTAGCCCGATTCCACTTTTAACGCTGATTATCTGCGCTCTGATAAGCGATTTTCAATAAGGGCTATGATGAGATAGATTCCCAGCGATGGCCATAGTCGATCCATTAATACTTTATCTCTTCGCTTTACGCAGAGTCCCAGCTTGGTGAACTACCATCCGGAAAAGAAATGGACCTCCGGTGGACATGCCTCGACGGAATCCGAGTCGAAACCCAACCAGGCGGAGGGGAAGCTGTCGCCGGCGGAGGAGCACAGGCAGAAGACCTCCTTCGAGGAGGTGCCGCTGCACACGGCCTGCCTCACGTACTTGGGCTTCTACCTGCTGATGATCCTGGGCTACATCAACCAGCTGCTCTTCGTGCCCAAGGTGGCCACGGAGAAGGGTCGCGACGGCTATGTGACGCTGTACGATGCCTTCGAGAGCTTCTACTCGCGGTACGTGTACCGCCGCATCAAGGACTGCTGGAATCGCCCCATTTGCAGTGTGCCCGGCGAGGAGCTCACGCTGAAGGATCGCGTCACCGACGACTACGGCTGGAGCTTCAAGTTCACCGGCACGGAGACGCGCTGCCTGAACTTGGGCTCCTACAATTACCTGGGATTCGCAGCGGCCACCGGACGCTGTGCCGACGAGTCGGAGGAGAGTGCTCGGCACTCGGGACTGGCCTACTGCAGCTCCCGCTGTGAGCTGGGCGACAACGAGCAGCTGCGCGAACTGGAGGCCCAGACAGCCCGGTACTTTGGCGTGGAGGATGCCATTGTCTTTGGCATGGGCTTCGCCACGAATGCCCTCAATCTGCCGTCGCTGCTGGGACCCAACAGTCTGGTGGTCAGTGACGAGAAGAACCATGCCTCCATCATCCTGGGACTGCGCCTGTCCGGAGCCACCACCAAGGTGTTCAAGCACAACAACATGCGCGACCTGGAGCGAGTGCTGCGCCAGGGCATCTGCCATGGCAATCCGAAGAGGGGCGGCCAGCCGTGGGACAAGGTGATGATCCTGGTCGAGGGCATCTTCAGCATGGAGGGCTCCATTGTCCGGCTGCCCGAAGTGATTGCGCTGAAGAAGAAGTACAAGGCGTACTTGTATCTGGACGAGGCGCACAGCGTAGGAGCCATGGGCTCTCGTGGCCGCGGCGTTACCGACTACTTCAATGTCGATCCCAAGGAGGTGGACATCCTGATGGGCACCTTCACCAAGAGTTTCGGCAGTGCTGGTGGCTATCTCGCCGGATCAAAGGTGCATTCTCCTTCTGTGTACCCAAAAATAACCCACTAACCACTAACCCATTGTATCTTTTGTACTCCACCAGAAACTGATTGACTTCCTGCGCACCAACAGTCATGCCCATTGCTATGCCGCCTCCATTTCACCGCCTATTGCCCAGCAGATCCTGACCTCCATGAGGACCATTATGGGCGAGGATGGCACCGACATTGGCCGCAAGAAGATCCACCAGCTGGCCCGCAACACGCGCTACTTCCGCCGCCGTCTGGCGCAGCTGGGCGTGATCACATACGGCCACGAGGACTCGCCGGTGGTGCCCATGCTGGTGTACCTCTTCTCCAAGATCGGGTGAGTAGGAGGCGCTGTTTGGGAATCTCTAGATCTCAGCACTGTGCACTTGAATTATAAGCTATTATTATAAGCTAAATCTCTCCCGACTGCAGACGCTGCTTGGCGATTTGAACTGGTTTCATGTACGCGGGAAATGTTTCACTATTATTTCATTTGCTCCTTAACATAATTCATTTCCGTTTGCTAATCCGTTTGCTATCCGTTTCTAGCGCTGTGGTTCGCACCTTGACGACCCGGCACATTGCCGCCGTGGGCGCTGGATTCCCGGCCACGCCCATTATGGAGGGACGCATCCGTTTCTGCCTGTCGGCCGCCCACACCAAGGAGCAACTGGACTTTGCCCTGGAGGCGATAGACGAGATCGCCGACGATCTGGGCCTTAAGTATTCCCGCAAGCCTCGCGATCCGAATCCCGTCGTCTACTAGGATACATAGGAGTCATAGGAGACATAGCAGTTAAGCCAGGGGGGATGTGAAAGTCAGTCTCCCCGAGATTGTTAGACCAAAAGTATAAAACACAGTCCAGATATTGCTAGATCATTCAGGAACGATGGGTTACCACGTGGAGTGGGCTTCTGTTTATGACTAATTCCCCGGGAATATCCATTGGGAAGGGAGCATCACTACAGCAAGGAGAACAGATAAGTACAGCACCTAGCTTAAATGATAAAATATTATTAATTATTTAGCATTTACCTCTACGTAGTTGTTACTGTAATTGTAAACTCCAGTTGTCTTCTTTAGTCCGCCTGCTGCATTTTTGCATTTTGCGTATTTTGTTGGGTAAAGAAGATGTGTGAAATGAATTAAGCAAGTCAAAGTCAGGTTTTGGTTTTGGTTTTGGTTAAATTCAGAGCTAAGCTAAGGGGAAGCCCCTTTTTCGTGGGACAGTCGAGCACCTCGCTTCTACCATTTAAGCCATTTAAGCTGAGCCAAACGAAATTGTAAAACACCATTTCGCTAGGCCTCTGGGGTCCAAAATTTGGGCCATTGTCAGGAACCTATATATATATATATGTATAATGATTATGTATTAATGATTTTATTTTTCTATCAAGAAATAAATAACTGTTGCTTTATCTATTGAACTAACTGTGTAGAGGTGCGATTTCTAACTTTTATTCTTGTTACGCACAAAATAATTGTATAATAGTTGGATCTGGCTGATGATTTGAAATAATAATAACAAACTCAGACTAAAATATTTAAATCGTGTGGAAAACCGAGTGCTGCCAGACCGTCAAACTGAACTTTCGCAGTTTTGTAGTTTAGCAGTACCGCTGCTCAATAGCGGGAAATGTTTAAATGGCATACTTGACAGTTAACAGACTACTGTTAAGTTTTTCCCGCCAATATTCAAAATAAATTCCCTTACGAAATATGTTCTCTAATATATTCGAGAAACAGCTAAGTAAATAAAAATATTAATTATTTACCAATGTGGTAATTGATGGATCTATTTTTCTTGAGAGCTGTGCTGACTTTGATCTGCGACTAAATTAATTTAAAGTATATTATCATTTACAAATCAAACATATTTACAAATTTTAAATATAATTGTAGAAGTTGATATGGAGTTCGCAGAATATTTTCAAAGTTATTAATTGTCGTCGCACATTGGCTTGCAAATAAAACAAGATGTAATTATTTTAAAGACTTTATGCTGAAACATAAGAAATTTAAGCTTAGAGTTCATACTCTCATCCCTTTAAATAAATGGTTTAACATTATATGGAGGCTTTTTTTGGTATTCTTTATGTGACACGGAAATTAAATTTGAATAAAAGAAACGATATATTTTGGACGAAGTCAATGTAAGTAATAAATGCGAATATATTTTAATTGACAACTGAGTATTAAACTTATCCAATCTGTTTTCAACACGCATTCACACATTAAGGCTCGAAGCCAGACTGCAATCCTTGGAATAACAATTTTCTAATTAACAGTAACTCATGACATCTCTGCATCGCTCCCTGTTTTCCTTTTCCGGTGCCGACCACAAAGCCAAATAAATTCCAATTGTAATTGTCTCGGCCTTTCAAGAAATTAAGACAAAGGGCGAACAACTCTCAGATCGAAAGACAATAAGGGGGACGAGGATGGGCGTGCGGCATGTTAAGAGTTTTGTTGGTTTATGGGCTTGGGCAATACTTTCAATTTTATGTTCTGGGCAATATTTATTGAGTTGTTCTTGTTTGTTCTGTGGGGAGTACATGGAAATCGAGTTTAAATTTTGGCATGTGGGAGAGCCTGCCAAAATGCTCGTTAAAAGTGCATTCAAAATGCTTTTAAAGTAACTCGCTGTGCAGGACATTATAGACAATCATTTCAAAAAAATATGTTTTAGTTTATTAATAATTTATTTCAAGAATATAAGTTTTTGTTTAAACTTTAACAGGCAATTTCAAATGCTTGTCTTTTCATTTTTTAATGATTGTTCCGAAACCAACACTGCTGTTTTGCTGCTTTCTGGCTCCCATTTGAAAAATATAAAATCGGTTTTTTTATTAGGCGTAATGTAAAACCAAGCCAAGTCTTTTTAGTTGTCTTTTCATGTAGTAAACCATTAAATAATTTTTTTTTTTTTGACACTTTATCTGTATATACTTTTGTTGGTATTTGAATCTCTGATTTACTTGAAAAGATTGAATATCGAATGACATTTTAAAAGTATGCCTGCAACAGGGAAAAACAATTAAAATTGCAGCAATATTTTAATGTTTTACAGCAATCGTGTATGGAAATCAGGTGAGAGTGCTATGATAATTCAGGAAATACATATATACCCAAGCGATTTGCAGGTTGAATAGATTGACAAGGCCACATCAGTTTCGATGTGTTTAATTTATCTGCCGCTTTCTGTTTACTTTTTTCGAGCTGCCAAAATGGAAAATGACAATACACGTCGGTATACAAATATGTGTATCCTAGGCAAGCACGTGTGAGTGGGTGGGTGGTTGGTCGATTGGGTGGCGCTGCTTTTCCAGCTTTCCCAGCTTTTCCCAACTTGGTGTGAGTAATTGACTACGTGCGTATAAAGTTTGTGCTGGCATTTTACCCGAGTACGAGTACTGCCAAAGTGGCTGCAACAACAACGCCAGCATTTTAGCCTGCCCTTGAGTGTGGTCAACAGTTTGAGTGTGTAGAGTGTGTGTGGATGCAATCATAAATATGCATCCTGTTGGCCATTTGTCATGGCTTTTTTCCCGATGCCGCAGACAAGAGTCGAGTCTGCATCTTCAGCACCGCAAGTGCCCGAGCTCGAATTCAAATGCTGTTTTCCTGAGCGTCCTTTAATAGAGATTGATAAGGATAAGAGGCCAATCGGGGTCACCGATCGGGCTATCACGAAACATCAGCCATTCTGTGGCCTCCATGGCGTGCTTTCATTTTTCTTATCCTTTACAAATTTCTGATGCCCTTTTCGCGTGCAGCTTGTTTGTTTTACCACCTGTGTTTTTTTCCGGCTCCATGGAAAAACTATAAACGTGCTTTACTCGCTCACGAAAGTAAATTTCGGTGAAGCGGAAAAATCCATAACATCACGATATTAACTGGCCATTTGGATTTTAAAAACTGGGTAATTAAAAAACTTGTAATAAACCCAATAAAAAAAAACATTTAAATTCTCAATAAAATTCTGTCCTAAGAATTTTTATTTTCGGTTCTTTTATGCAGTACTTATTAAGCCTTAATCCAAAACAATATGATTTTACAAAACATATCAGTGTCACAAATAATGGAGTCAAACCATATTTTCAGCAACTTGAAGAATAAATCACGCTGAGGTCCACATACATAACGTTCTTAAATTTGTTTTTACATACGTAGTTTATTTAATGTTTCCCCTTCAAACTTGAGTTACTTTCTGAGGACTTTTAGACGGTGCACCTTTTATGTTGCACCCTGGGATACGCAGTTGTTGTGCTTAAGTTTCAAGTTTCCCCGCAACTCCCGCGGTTCGGGCTCAGAAATACAATTTTAATGTTTCCGCTTTCTTTGCAAAATATGTGGGCAAGGTATGAACACATTCGGGTTCTATTTTTCTTTCTTCTTATATCCGCCGAACGGGAAGTTGCATTTTGTGTGCTTCATAATCTGATAAAATGTTGCAAAAAGTTTCCCCTCGTCAAGCTGGCGCAGTGGGAATTTATGCAATGCGGAAAAATCCAAGTCCGAATCCTATTTGTGAACGCTCGAAGCATGCAAATGACGGCCTTTGAGTTATGCGCATACTTTTGATAGCCACTGTGCGGTTGGAGGGGTTGATGGCGTTGTGGCAAAGCGATTGATAACAATAGGGCGATCAGATCTGGGAGGTAAGCCGATCCTATAGATTTTCTTTGGGTGTTATATTTAGTTTGTAATGTATAAATTAAATATATTGTATTACTATTTCATTAGTGTTATAATACCTTTCGCATACCTAAATGTGTATAGCTGTATATACATACAATATATATTTATTTACGACCTCTTTTAATAACAAATCCATGAGACTTTAAACCTTGTCCTTGGGGCACACACTTCTTCGTCGTTTCAATTTTGATTTCCATTAACTCAGTGCCAGGACATCACCCATCAAAGTGCAAACAAATTAATCTTAACCCCGTTTGCAGGAGTGGATTGGCAATCTGTTACACGACTTCACTTCGGATGCTATTACTTAAGCACATGTTTTATAAAAAGATCCGCTGGAACGATTTTTCATGGGCAAACGTATCGCCCGGCTGCTCCGTTATGGATAAAGGAAAAAGGGAATCCTGACTATAGACGAGGGCCAGGGACAATCAGTCATTTGCCAAAAAGGCTGGCAATGAGACGTTGCTTGACTTTTGTTGCTGCTCAAGGATCAAGGATATGGATACATGTATGCACTCGCTTTGTGCTCAACACTTTCGATTCGACACACACACACATACACACGCACACACACGTTAATCAATCACAGTGCCCCCGCTCCCCAGAAAAGGATGGGATTTACACAGGGAATCTGCTGAGATTTTCACCAGCAAATTTAAATGTCCTTGCGCCTGCCGAGGCAACCGCAAATTAAATTTGCTGCCGAATGCTCTGAAGGACACGGAATCTCTTGCGGGACTCGACCGCAGATTTCTAATTAATTCTATGGACGGCGGCAGAGACTGAAATGGCAGTCAAGTCCTGCAGACACCTTAGCACCTGTCACCGGCACATGCTAAATGTCCTGGCCCACAACTTTCGGCTCGAGTGGCTGCCTGGCTGCCTGGTCGGGCATCATTAAGTCCTGTGTTTTGTGGGCCGACAGCTTCTTGTTAACATTTATGGCTATTGTTTTCTCCAGACGATGTGTGGGCGTGGTCACGGCTAATGTCTCCCAAATATTCAAGCAATTTACTGGCCCAAATTAAAATATCTGTTGGGGCAATATGCTGGTGCCCAGTTGTTTATGCTAACCACATCGATTTGGGGATATCTTAATCAGGAGTATTGAATCGAGGGTGCCCATGCTGGCTATCTTTCTATGCGGAATGAAAGTCATCTGTCGTCAAAGGATTTTATATCCGATGCTTGATACATATTGTAATTAAATTAAGCGTGAATATTCCCAGATCAATTATTATTTGTGGAACTAATTTAATTTGAATATTATTTGATTAGGTACAATATTATATTGAACATAGATGAGAGGTTTGTAGTATGCCTTAAACAAACTAATTTAAAATCACAGAAGCTAATTGCCTTTAAATAACTTTAATATGATTAAATTATATTAAATTAAATAACATTTTTTCACTTACATAAACCAACCAATTAGTTTTTAGAAATTGTTATTATTTTACAAAATGCGAAACAATTGAGACGTAATTTAGTTAAACAAGGGTTGTTCTCTTTAAAAAATGTATTAAAGTAAACAATTAACTGAAATTGACAGTGAATAAGAGCAGCTTGAATTGCTTAGATTTTGAATAGTCAATTTATTTTTTTTTTTATTTTAATCAAAAGTATTTAACATTCCGCATGCCTCTTCCTAGACGACTTTAATTGAATGAAATAAGTCCAATGTTGCAGATATTTATCAAACACGTTTAGTCATGCCAGTATC